TTTCCAGGAACAACTAATCAATCATGCAATATATGGTGAATCAATCTATCAATCAATATCACTTAAACAAAAGCTATGGCAATGGTATAGCAATCTGAGTACTAATGCCATCCTGTGGTCACATGAAATTTTCTGACCACATGTTTTATTACTGTTCATCACTTCTGGAGTTCCACCTCTGCAAGTAAATTCTATTTCTAGTTATGCTGTAATTTGTTTGTCTTTAAAAGCAATTTTCGTATTAATTCAAGATAAGTCATTAGGCATAGAAGAATAGACTAGAGTATTTGAATTGGCTAGAGTATTCAGACAGCTATTTCAACAAATAGAAAATTTTGCTATTAGGGATAGTAATGTTCAATACAATAAGTTGAGTTTAATATCTTTTTAAAAATATTTAATCTAACTATAAACTTGTTATAATAGTTTCTCTTCTGTATCTGGAAACATGTCATACTTTTCTGTAATAAAGGAAAATTATTTTGAGAAATCTACACTGCCACATTTTGAAGTTTAATATATTCTCAAAGAAAGAGTTTATCAAAAATCCATTCATATTTACCTTTATGAGGTATTGTACTCTACATTACTATCCCCATAGAAAAATTTCTGCCTACTGAAACTATCGTATCTGAAAATTTGACATTTAAAGGAAATACTGTATTTTTGCTGTTATTCAGGTTAACAGCTATCTCAAAGATGATGCTATTGGCTTAACTGCTTTTTAAAATTTACCATTCAAACTTTCATAGCTGATGATAATCAGAGCAATAGTGAACCAAATACACCTCCTTTCAAGAAGAGAATAAATGTTTCTGGCAGTATAATATTCACTCCTGGAATTAAAAACTTTCCTAAGCTTTGTCAGCTCCTACCCATAGAGATGAGTTTGCAGAATGCACATTTTATTGATGTATGATCAACATAAAAACACAAGTCTGTGGTTCTTTAGAAAGAGAGCATCACCCAAAAATATGCTAAGACTGTAGTAGCAATCGAGAAGACAAGGACAACTTTCAGAGCCACTGATATCCTTGATAAAATAAGATGTCTATATAAATTTAACTTTTATCTGAAAATAAATTATCATTGAATTAAATTATTATTGAATACTGTTCAGTTAAAGTTACTCAAGCATTGAATAACTTATCACAATGCAAGTAATAACTGCATTATTCTTCACATCTCATTGAATATGATGTTTGCTACTGCAGATTGTGCCAGTCCTCTCTATTCACAAAGATATTCCCAAACAGTGCCGTAACATCAAAATTTCATTGTGCCCAGACTAAGAGTGCTTGATTATCAATGATACTCTTTCACTCTCTTTCACATTGTTCAATAGAGTCATAGAAGAATTGGTATAAGAAATGAAGCAAGCTCTATTTTCTATATTTGCTGATTGGCGTAATGACACTGAGTTGGAAAAGATCTAATGTAGCTAATAAGTGTCAGAATTTTTGGCAGAAACAGAGAAAGTTGCTGCAAAATTCCTGGACGTGTTTGCCAACAACAGAAAATTTCTTCAAAAGTATGTGTCAGATATTTGAAAAATATGGCCTTTGCTGGAATAACTGCATTGGTTTAAATATCAACAATGCTGCCTGTAATACTGAAAAGAACAACAGCTTGAAGAGCAGAGTATTAGAATGCATTTCTTTTTTTTATTTACATGCATAGGTATCTCTACCATATCATTCAAAATGCTATAAAACAAGGTAAGAACAATTTTTGTAAAAGTATGGGGTTTGATTCAAATATTTAACTATTTGTCAAAATCATCCATCTCAAAGAGTTTTGTGTTTTTGTACAGTTGAATTTAGGAAACCAGACATGTCACTATGAGATGGCTGAGTTTGAAAGCAGCAGTAAACTGGACCCTTCAGTTATACAAAAGATTAAATTCATATTTTTTTTTTTTTATCAAAGGAAGAAACAACTATCCCTATGACAAAAATATATCTGTTATTCTTTGAATAAGTAAGCTGTTGTTTTTGCCAGAATAATTTTGCCTTACAAAAAGACAAACCTCAAATATCTAGGTTTTCTGATAAAATAGTTAATTTTTTGAAGATAATTCTAAATATTTCAAACTAAATCATAATTTTCTAATTATGAATAGATTTATTCAAGATTCTCATTTGTACAAAAATGCACACAATGTAGCTGATATGGATATTACAGCTGTAAATCAAGTTTGTGATGAAACTTTGTATACTGAATTTGCTAGAAAACAAAATTTACTAAAAGTTGAAAATGATGTGTTTACTTCAAAGATAAAAAGCTTTCTATATAACATCTCAGAACTTCTCTAAAATTAGTATATACTACTTGCAAAGCAGATTGCCACTTAAAAATAATATAATTAAAAATAGTAAACATGTTAATTATTAAAATTTTGCAAAATTCCTTGCAGTTTTTCTCAATTACAGTACTTTTGTGATAGGTTTAAGAAAGTTTTTAACTTTGCTGCAACTGAGAGGGAAGTGTTGTATGACAAGTTTCAAAATTGCAAATGTTTTTTGAATGAATTTTTGTTGCTAGTGAACTGCAGCAAAAATTCATCATATTCTCTAAATCTATTAATATGATGTGGCAGTATATGTCAGAAAAGAGAGATGCAAGTAAAAAACTTAGCCACTTTTGAGACAAAAGAAAAGCAAAGTTAGTTTTGACTATTCCATATAATAATGCAAAAAAAAAATTTTTAGTATAATAAAAAAAAAACAAAGCAAAAAGTAGAGGCAGTAAGAGCTTAAAAAGTATCTTGCTATCATTTATATCATTAAAAATAAATGAATTTGGAGATAAAAAATGCTATGGACTCAGTAAATCATTGCTTCATCAACCAAAGAAATGCATAAAACAGTATAATGAAAAACAAAACCCCAGCAATAATTAGTTTATAAGTTGCATATTTGAAAAAAAGAAATTTTATTTGTATCAGTCACAATAAAAAAAAAAAGTTATGCATTAGGTGTAAAATCAAGTCAATATGCTGCTAGTCTTTTTTCATCCATAATGCCAGTCCAAATATATGAAATCAGGTTGACAAGTCTGCATACTGCTTTCAGAATAAATAAAAATGCTGATATTAAACAATAGTTGATGAAACAAAAAAAATTTTTTTAAATCAATATTGAATCAAATTGTTTTATGTAAATATTTCTCACAAAAATTTTATGTCTTGTCATGTCAAGTAAATTGAGGAAATGATATAGTAGATAAGACTGAATTTATTTTTTCTATCTTATTGAAATAGAACTTAACTAGATTCTAGACTTCTTTGCTCATTTTTAAACCTTAAAGGCGATTAATTAAAATTAAAGAAGGAAATATTTAAATTGTTTTTGTTTTTTTAATAATGTCTTTGATTTAATTATTATACATACTATACAGATATCATTATTTCTGTATTTAAAAGATCAATCATTACACTCAGGAAATTAAAAATATTCTTTATTCATTAACATTTCCAGTAATTATACAATCATCCTCAGTTCACAGAATCAAATGAACAATGTTTCTGAATTTTTCTTAATCTAATATTATATTTTTCTTTTGGTTCAAAAAAATCCTTAATAAATTAATTTTGTTTATGTTCTTTAATAATTTTATTCTAAATTCATCAAATCAAATTTATGTTCTATATCTATCATTTATCTGTGCTCTTTACAAGGTATAGATGACCACAGAATGGCCAAAAAATGTTACTAAAAAAAGAATTTTTTTCTGAATGTAGTAGTTTGATCTTTTAAATTATGTCATTGTGCCAAATTTCACATAGTTTTATGACATTATTTCAATGTATGTAATATTTTGAATATATTGGCAGATGGATAAAGTTGTTAACATATAAATATAAGCATGGAAAATAATTCAGAACAACAATATAATAAATTCTCACATGCATATTCAAATAAATTTTCTAATAAAAGATATGTATGATAGACTTACTATAATCATCCAGACAGTAGCATAACTAGAACCAATATTAGAAGGAACCTGAATTAAAATACATAAACCTACTTGCACTTAATTCATAATTCTGCGGATACAGATACTAGTGCTACGGATGAAGAGTAAACTCTTAGATACATTGTACGTAAACGTGTATTTGTCATTCAAATTTTTTTCCTGCACTTATTTGATTCTTTTCATTTATAAACAAAAAAATTCCAAAAATTAGACATATTAACTAAAATTATCATCAAAAAACCCTAAATACAATAAAAAATAGAACATTTATTATCCAAACAAATGCTTTCGTCCACATATAATGGCCATCTTCAGATTCCAAAATAGAATGAATGAATAGAACAGGAATTACTGTACTGTACATTTGAAATTAAAAACATTCAAAAAATTATGACTCATTAGGTAAATTTATAAACATTCTATTTTTACTGGATTTAAGGTTTTTGGACATTAATTTTAATTTATACACATAAGAGAGAGCCCATGCTCCTCTCTGGTTACTTTACTACATCCGGATCAAACGTTTCAAAATAAAATCAATTACTGCATTATTTTTACCGATCAAACAGATTAAAATTAAATTTTTAACCTATTCTTTTGAGGTTAAATATATAAGGTATAAATAATACTATTTTTTTCTTTTTGAAAAGATTAATCTTCTCAATTTTTAAAACACTTATACCTCACCAATCATTTATATTTAACAATTAAGAATTTTAGTTTTTATCAATGTCCTTGATTTATGAACTTAGAACAGATAAATCATACAATTACAGATTTTATAACTTGTACAATATTGAATGACTTCACAACTATATTCTGAAAAATAAATAATTGATAATAACTTCCAAAATAAACTTATTAAATGTAAATTTGCATACAAAAAGACATTCTAAATGATAAAGTTTATTTTAAGTCATTTAAATAACAGCAAAGTATATTTATATTTTAAAAAAAGAAAAATGTGTCCTTGAACTTCTACAAATAGTTAAAACGAAAGGTTAAATTTCCTATTTTCTCACCTCCTTTTAATTTCTTTCTCATAAAACTTTAAATATGGATCTATTTGAAACGAATGATTCAATTTCGGTATGTCTACTTTCTTATTTTCTTCCATTATCTAACTAAGAAAATAATATCTAGTAAAATATTGTTATTCGTCTGCTTATGTTGTTAGAACTGTACCAAATCGAGATTATGGCTGCTAATCGTCTGCTTACATCGCTATTATAACTTTATCATCTGAACACCAGAGGCGCTTTTTAAATCTTTAAATAGAATTTAAAATTTTTAAATATAATTTTTTAAATAATTTTTAATATTTTAAAATATTAAAAATTAATAACTGTCTAAATTTCGAAATATTTCATGAATATTTATAAATTCAAACAAAAAACATCTGAGATGTAAAAAGTTGCTTCAAGTAAAAACTCATGACAATTTATATAACAGCGAAATTTTATCTTAGGAAAAGATAAGCTTGGCGTTTTTTAAAAACTATTTCCGCCCTGTGGGCACTAAGAGAGCCTCTTTCAGCAAGTCCATTATGGATTCGGTGAGGCCCATGATGGGGCGGTCGAGTGGTGAGGGACGGGAGCAGACGAATCCGATCGGATCACTACCCGAAAATTCCTGGGGATAATTCGACCCGTTCGGATTACGAACCAGGGTCCCCCAGAGCGGTGGGCTTCCGCCTTGACCGCTCGGCCATCAGCCCATCAAAGAATCTACTTGATGCTTATGGTGCTGTATCGTCGTCTTGATTCCAAAACCAGTTTTGTTAATTTAAATTAAATATAAATATAATAACGCATATCGCATTGAGTTCAATTAGGTAACGAAAGTAATTATAACGTAATTGAATAATATTCTCCAAAAAACAACAGCGGGCACATATCTAAATCCCCTGAATATATCTTAAGCAGCACCAATATTCTCAAAACCCTAAATAAGTCATTGGTATTCTTTTAATAAGTATTTTACTTTTCTCATTCTCCGTTTGGAGGCATGATCATAACTATTTCGCTATTTTTGCCGTAAGATCTTTTATAACATACAGGAGTATCTTGTTTTAAGCTGTTTATACATCGGAAAATGATAAATGCTGCAGTGGTCTGCAAACTAGAGCTGCCATATTTCTACATCTGCATTAAAGGATACTTAAAAATAATTAATGCTACTACAGTATTCTCCATCTTTTACTCTACCTCCTCGTTCCAAAAGAAAAGAAAAAAAAACGAATGAATGAATTTTTAGCTAACTAAATACTGTATATGGCCGCGTTTCTTTATGCAGCGTGTAGCGAAATGACGTCACGAGCAGTGTTGGCCAATTAGAAACCAGTTTCAGTGTGTTCGCTGTAAAGCACTGCATAAAGAAACTCGAAGTATTTATCTTTTTATATTTTAATTTAACACACTTTTCCCAAAAGTACTCTATATAGAACAATGAATTCAAAGCTTGTGAAAAATTATTCTTTATACTTTTAACTTCAAGATATTTTATCTATACATTAAAGAATTTCTCAAATTTAATTTTCAAAACTTCATTATGCGAATTTGGTATCCTTGCAGACTTTTTTTAATACAGATTTTTGAACGTGCATATTTACGGTTACAGCATGGTATAAAGAATTTATTCAATTTTCCTCATATAAAACTTTTATATTTTCTTGCAGAATAGCTATATTGATATGAAATCTTTAATATATAAATATTTATTTCAAAATAAGTGTCCTGTATAGCACACTGAAAATATCCACTCTAGGACCTATGTATATATAGCCATGCACACATCTATTGCATTTAATCGTGGATGCATGATCAATTGTATATACACATATTGATTGCACATATACAGTCAAGATCATTTCAAAGTTCACATAGCCTGTTTTTTGAACTTTTGAGTATATCATCTTAATATGTAAAAATTGAATTAACCTTAATTTTACTTTTCAGACTTGATTTTTTATTAAATCGAAAAAAATTTTGAAGAACATTCTATGTATGTTTTACAAATTGTAAATTTTGTAATTGTAATTGAAAATTTCAAAGTTGACATAGCCTGTTTTTTGAACTTTTGAGTTATCATCATCTTACCTATATGTAAAAATTGAATTAACGTTAATTTTACTTTTCAGACTTGATTTTTTATTAAATCGAAAAAAAATTTTGAAGAACATTCTATGTATGTTTTACAAATTGTAAATTTTGTAATTGTAATTGAAAATTTCAAAGTTGACACGAAATAAAACGTTGAGAAAGACTCAAATCACTTTGTTGGACTATCTTTGGCCTGAATTACACAAAGAAGTCGACTTTGCATACAGTTAATTATTTATCAATGATAACTTACCTAATTTCTGACCAAACCTTAAATAATTCTTTGTACAATGATAAAGATTTTCTATGGCTAAGAGGAATACAGCAGTCTAATTCATCCCATAGATGTTCTATTAAATTTAAGTCTGGTGACTGCGATGGCCATTCAAGAACTTTGATATCATTTTCATTGAAATATTTTCTGACAAGCAATGCTGTGTTTGGGATCACTGTCTTGTTGAATGACAAATTCATTTTCAATCTCCATTTTCCTTGCTGATGCTATTAAATTGTCTTCAAGCACAGTATCTGTAATCTACTGCTTTTATGCGATCGTGAATTTGAATATTGCCCATTCTGAACCCTGAAAAACACTCCCAAACCATTATGTAAGGTGAGTTTTATTGTTATCAAATGCTTGACTTTTCCTTCTTCAAATTTTCATTGTTTAGCATCCTGCAACTCTCGTTTTGACTCATCACTCCAAATAACACACTTCCAAAACTAAGGGCTTGTCCACAAATTTTTTGGCAAAAGCTAATCTATTCTTCTGATTCACTGCTGAAATCATTGGTTTTCTGTGGAGACCCTTTTTATTTAATCTTCTCTTAACTGGCTTCAAGAGTAAGCTGTTCTTTTATTTCTTTAGCTGTTATAAAGGAGTTTTTAGTGGCCTCACGGTAAATCATTGCATCTTCTCTTGATGTGGCCTTAGGGAAGTGTCCTCGAGATAAATTTCTCACTATACAGTTATTTAAATATTTGACTACAATTTTTCTGACACCTTTGATATTTGACGCTTTATTTGCAATAACAGCAAGAGAATCACCATTTTTACACTCATGTACAATCTCTACTTTCTTCAAGCTTCAATTCTTTCTTCTTTAGCATACCTTTTATTGATACTAAAAACTATTTAATTGACAATTCTGGAATTGTGTTATACTCAATTTGAAATTAATTTTTTACTGTACTTACAATGTTTTCTTTGTTGTCAACTTTCAATTGATATAACAATACTTCACTTGTCGCTCTTCGATTAGTTATTGATGAAACAAACTAATCTATAATCATAAATCTATTGTTTTATGCAAATTAGCAAGTCTAATCCAATATGCAAAGTAGTTAACAGACCAAAAATGCATTTTTTTTCCCTAAAAATGTTAAAAAACTATTTTTTCAGTTGTCTACTCTGAAATGATCTTAACTGTAAATTGGTAAATATGTTATATATAGCAGTTCTCTGCATGACATCAAAGTGGTTTTACTATTGACAAATTTTGAAGATGCAACTGTAAATGAGTCAATAGTGCATAGAAAGAACAGACAACAGCTTCCAATGACAAGTTATATCAAGAGCTAAAACCAACTACCATATTTGACATACTATTTTTTTACTAGTTGCATCAAGTACATGTCTTTGTGTATCATCCAGTGCACTTTGGGAAGGCATTTCAGAGAATTTGATTGACCTGAAATGTAGCTTGTGTCAGGAGCCAGAAACATCCCAGAAAGCTATGTATATTCGTGGAAGAAAAATATCTAGAAAAGCTAACTCATTCTGAAACACATGCACAGACCAGTACTGAAATACGTTATGTAATAACTGAGGTGTAGTCTCAGACCATGCTTAACTTACAGGAAAAAATTTAATCTCTTCTTAAACTAACTCTACAGAATGACATAGTAGCTACAAGTCATGTCGGTACCTAAGATTTTAGATCTTATCCACATACTGAGAAAGAATGCAGTCCAAAGGACTGCACATCAGTATTTAAGGGTTAATTTCTACAGAAGCAATCTTTTCAAGACAGATAGGCTGAAATAAAATTTTCTGCACAGCTTGCAGCAGATTAAACGTGTGTAACATTTATCCACATATTAAGCTCATATAGTATACATGATTAAAAAAACAAACTTCAAAAATTTTAAAATGTTCTTTATTCTGTTTAGAATATAATTTATAAGCTTGTTTCATAAAAATAACTTGCTATTCTGTTAAATTAATTATAAATGATTTTAAAAAATAAGTCAAAACATATTTTATATCTTTTATTTATGAAATTTAATCCACATTTAACAGATTTTACTAAATATAAATATGCACATATTGCATTTTAAAATATTAGGCAAATTCTACACAAATAAAGTTAACTAAAATTTTGGAAAATTCTTGCAAAACGAATCTTTGAAACAGAAAAAATTTATTGCAAAATTAAGAAATTTCACAATAAATGGTGCTGCTTGTTTAATTGCATATTGGTGAATAGTAACTTTATAAAACTAAACTTTTAAATCTGTTTTTGTGGGCATGTATAATTTTGTAAAATGTATTTGTTGTTATGTAAGTTTTAATATAAAATTAAAAATAAGTAAATGAATTATGAATGTTCAAATGGGAATGGTTGAAAAAAAAAATTCAACTTGAATTTTCACAGATGATTCCTTTGTACATATAGACAAATGACTATATTTTATTTTTGCTATGAAACTTCCATGCTAGGATTACTGTCTGGAGAAACTGTTGGTTTAAGTGGTCCAGTACTGTCTTCAGAAATAATCTGATTACAGTCAATTGGACGAACTGGTGGAATATTTTCTTCTCCAGGATTATCATCCCAATCTATTTTGAACCTTGTAACTCTTGGACTTGTTGCAAGTATATTTCTCTGTAACTAAATAAAAACTCATGTAAATACTTATATATTTATTTCTACAAAATCAACATTATGGATGAATAAAACTTACTTTTTCAAACTGGGGAACAGCAGGTGGATTTTCTCTAAACTCCATATCAGTATATTCATTGTTAACATAATACCCTACTCGTATAAATTCTTTACCTCGATAAGAACAAGTAAGGAGTACTACTGTAACACCAACAGCATCTTGAACTGGTATTTTAGATGGATCAGGAGGATCAGCCTTAAAATTAAAAAATTTAATTATTTCAAATTAAATAAAAATTTAAAGATTTTTCATAAACCAGAATTTCCACATTACAAAATTTGCTAATACATTTTATGAGATCAGCTTTGTTGATCTTCCCAAAAAGTCTTTGTGCTTAAGATAATCATAATAATTAATAATATGAAATTTACTTGATAGCAGGATGGCCAAATTAACAGTGAAACCTACCACTCTGTTCTGAGGACCCAGAAACAAATCTGGGCAGGTCAAAAAATTCCAGGAATTTTTTGGGGAGGTCTATTCTAGTTATGTCAAGCCTGTTGTTCACCATCCAGCTACTCCCATGTGGGCCTAACTAAACCCACAATAAACTTGACAAAAAAGGCCATCAGTTTCCACAGAGTGGAAAGAGTAAAAAAAAAAAAAACAATTTACAGCAAAATACTATATTATTGCACAAATCTGAAGAAAATGATTAATAAATAACATACTATTATCAAAAATAAGGTGTACACAATAACAAATAGTACACACATTAATTGGAATTAATTATAAAGAAAGTAATAATTGGATTCAGTAAATCTGCATAACAATACATTCAACACAAAAAAGATTTAGTAGATTGCACAGTACATTACTATTAAAACCTGGATATGGAAAAAATCTAATTGAAGAGAAGATCAAAATCAATGTATTTCACCAGGAAGTATGGATTGCTAAAAATTAGGGAAGATTTCATTCAGCAATCACAAAGTATCTCATAAACAAAATACTGCTTGAGGGTAGTTAGTGGTAGTATACTCATGACTAGGGTTTCTCATTTCCCGGTCTTTTGCTTGTCCCAGAATTTCAGGGAAAAAAGTGAACTGTTTCCCAAGATCCCAGGATAGAATTAATTATTTTTAAGATATACAAAATATCTTGAAATAAAATGATATAATTATTTTTCATTTTTTAAAGTAATTTAATACGTTCTGCAACCTCCAAAATCATATTAATAATAAATAAATTGAGAATGGCACTATATGTTATAAGATTTTATCACAAAAATGTTGTATTATTAACTATTATAAAAAGACTAAAGACTTAATTTTGAAAGTAGAAATAAGTATTTTAAAATCTTATAAATGCCAATAATGAGTAAAATTTTCANGTGAACACTTTCCCAAGATCCCAGGATAGAATTAATTATTTTTAAGATATACAAAATATCTTGAAATAAAATGATATAATTATTTTTCATTTTTTAAAGTAATTTAATACGTTCTGCAACCTCCAAAATCATATTAATAATTGCCTTTGAATTATGTAAAAATTTTCACAAATAGAAAAAATTTATTAAAATTTGCTGGAAATTGCATACAACAACAACAAAATGCTTTGAATTGAGTTGAAAATTTAAAAAAAATGAACTTAGATCAAACTTCTAACTTAAAAGGTGATTTTTGTTTTTAAATAAAACATAATACAAAATATTATTGTAAATTTTTTTAAGATTTTAAAAAGCAAAGATGGTCAATACTCCGATCACTCAATCTGATTCTTATTTTAGTAATGAAAAGTAATGAAAAGACTACTGAGAATGCCCTTTCCGATTCAATTAATGTGAGTGGAATAGTGTTTAATGCATTTAAGAGAAGATAGATGTTATGTGTTTTTTCACCTGTAGCCTGGAAGAATTCTAGTTCATCTTTGAGATTGTAGTACTTCTTTTGCTCTTCTTTTAATAGAAACAACAAGCTTATAGCCCAATAATTTGGCAATTCGTTTGTCTTTAATAATCAGGTTTATGAAGAAAAACTTTATACTCATTTGTATCCTTGCCCAATTTTTACAACCTGGCATTATGCAGTTATTGAAGCTACCGGACATGGTTAAAAATTAAGACAGCATAAGCACAATTATTTCAGATATTACAGGTTTTGACAAGTAAAGAATTTTCAGAGTCTTGCCACAAATAAGCTAGATATTGATTATTGACCATTTGTGACATGCCATAACAAGCAAAACTTTAAAAAACTAATAAGTAGGTTTAAAATTAATAAATACAAATGTATTCTAATGGTTTATGAGCTCATTATACTTTCTATTTGCAAAATTTCCTCAAAACACAAAATAAGAAAAAAGTAAACTAATAAGAAATTTGTGAGATTTCCTGAGTTAAAAAACAACCAGGATCCCATTTGAGAAACCCTACTCATGACTTTATGGTGTTCGGATGAATGGAAAGACAGACTTTAGGTGAATCCACACAAGAATTATCCACTCTGGTTCATCCATCTTCATTGGCAGTTACCATAGCAATAAAACATTGACAAAAGATGGATTGGCAATAACTAGTCAAATTTTTTGAAAGAATGATGGCCAATGGCCATCTTAAAGAAATTAGCCAATTATTGAAGATGTATGTAAGAATATCACAGTCAATAGAAATGATTCTTTTATGTTTATTTGGTTTGATATGTGTAATAATTAGTGTTGCAATGAATAGTATATTCGGCCAAACTATCTGGCTTGATTAATGCACGTACGAAAATTGGCGTGCAAACCACATTATGGCAAGGACCCTGCTCTCTATTGGTCCACTGTCACTATGCTTCGCCAATCGCGTTAATTCTTGACAGTTCAGACAAGAGCATCATGGCAGTATGATAAGTGATGATATCAAATCTGGATAACAATGAAATGACCTACATGTGCAAATAACGGAAAAAGAACAGAGAACGACTGCAAAGTGAAAATGTGAAAATAAATATGAAATTGAGTTGATAACATAATCGAACAAGTCAATTATGTTATCAACGCAATAAGCTGCTTCAAACAAGTTGAGGCAGCTTATTTGCGCGAAATTTGTGGCCGTCAATGTCAAACAATTGTTGTCATAGACTTCAAAAAGCTAAATGCTTGTAATGAAAGTCACTTAGTGTGCAGGGAGAAAGCCTGGGGTGGTTCGGGCTACCAGGCTGTTTCAAATCTGTGAAATCATAACTGACTTATACCGATGTCCTATCTGTCTCTTTTCTCCATTATCATCAGGCTATGAGTCATGTAATTGTAAAATGGGAAATCTACGATGGAAAAGTGACAAATTGAAAGTATCATGAGGGTGTATTATGATGTATGCATAGGCATACGTGGACTAGAGTGATAGAGGAAAGAGAAAGGGAAGAGCAAAGACGAGCACTTAAAAAGAAGGATAGGCAGGGTTAGACCCTCAGATGTGTGACAATTCTCGAACAAATAGGTGTGTACATGTGCTGATCTTTGTAATTATAAATTGTGAATACAAGTGACTAATATTATGTTCTTTTTTATTTTGTGCATGTTATAAGTTATAAATAAATATAAACAAACAACACTAACCCGATAACATTAAATCTAAATACCAAAATGATTAAGTTACTGTGTTTTTGTTATTTCTTACTCCTGTTTTTAGGTATTCGGCCGAATAGCGAAAAATAGGCCGAATACCGAATAGTAACCGAATATTCGTTACATCACTAGTAATAATACAGTAACTACAATAGCGAGTTGCAGCCAAAGTTTTCATTTCTAAAATGTGAACGTTGAGCAGCAATATCTTTTAAGTGACACTCGACATTCACTTTTAAAGATGAAAACTTTGGCCGCAACCTCGCTATTATCTTACATGAAACAAAGAAAAACAGAATTTTAACAAAATGGAAAGCAAAAATTTAAATGAAATGTTAAGGAAATAAGGCAAATGTGACAGTGTGCTTCATTGATCAAGATTTGTTTGCAAACCAAATTGCTTAGTTTACATACACACCATTTTGCTTTGATGGTTGAATGTCAATGGTTGCACATTTTCAGCTGACCCAACAGCTCAGACAGCTCTAATGTGAATCCAATCTTAGTGTTTATTGAAGGCTGAAACAACTCTCAAACTTATCAGGAGCTTGTCTGGAGGTAGCTTCAAACTCATGCAGGGCAATGCAAGCTTTTTTTGTTTCAAAATTAACATGTCTTTTTTCAGAGCAAGAGAATCCAACTTTTGGACTGGCCACCACCCCCAAGTACAGATTAAAATCCCACGGAGAATCTTTGAGGTAATCTTGGTTTTTCAAATTTAACATATTTGGAACCAATACAATACTGTACTGTCACTGAACTGAACTGATGGTTGCTCTTGAAGAATTGGAAAATACTTCACAAGAACAACTACAATCTTTAGTCACTTCAATGTCCAATCATATTTTTGAGCTTATCTCAAAAAACAGTAGCAAAATCAGATGTTATTTGTAACTTAAACTTATCAAATGCCAAGATGTTCTATTAATTTTGAGCACTATTTTTGATAATAGTATCTAGCTCTTTTATTTACTAATTATTTTCCTCCAAACTTACTATAATAGTATATTGTTATAAAATGTATTAGAAAATTTCATAAAAAAGTTATATGAAAATAATAAAGTATTTCTAGGCAATCACTGTATGTTCTATCATTGTTGAATGGACTGTATATATACTTGCTAAGAGCAATTGGATAATTACACATACAGTCAAATCCCAGGTTTTGAATGCCTTGCTTTTTGAATAATTTAGTTTACAAACAAAATTTTGAATTCATTTTTTCCCTAATTTCCTGAGTTATCGTACAGCAACTCAGTTACTGACCAAGCTACTAGGTACAGTTGGCCACTGATGGTCAATTTCATATACTTCCTATATTAACTCTTTAAACATGAAATCAGCCTTATTCATTCAAAACAAAATTGGCCGATGGATAAGTTGACGTGTTTTCCTATACAAGTTTTTCTTGTAGCGTGAATGGTAAAAACAATTTAGTCTTTAGGCACATGAATAGAAAAGGCTTTCAGAGCTTAAAGAGTTAAAAAAAGTATCGCCTGACGAATCAACAACAGGACTACTGATTCAGAAGTTAGTGGTGGCAAGATCACTTTGCTTCACAATACAAATTGTTGAAGACATTGCCATTTAAATTACATTTCAATGCACTTGCAGGAAAGATGCTATTTTTGTTTTTCAGTATGCACCATAGTTGATTTTAAATCAAATTAATCAATAAAAACTACATTAATTGACATTCACATAATATAAATGGCATTCAAGAATTCATGTTTAAATATGCTTAAGTTAAATTAAATGACAAAAATTTATTAATATAATATTAATATTTATTAATAACTAATAGCCAGTTAATTAAAAGTAAAAATAATAATTAAAACTAACCTTTACATCTAAACTGAAACTAAAATTAATTATTTAATTTAAATTAAAATTGAAATGAAGTCAATTTAAACATAATCTTTCAGAGTGTGGATAAAGTATTTGTTGGTCTTGATTGATTTGGTTATATTTCATGCAGGCAGTCAGAGCTGAGTCTCTATTTATAGCACTTCAAGTGTTAGTTTTTGTTTTGGCTAGGGTGACAAAACATTTTGATTTTAATATATATAATATATAATATTATTTTAGCTATATCTATTCATTTTGCTTTTAATATATATATATATATTAAAAGCAAAATGAATAGATATAGCTAAAATAATATTACACATAATGAATGTAAATAGCTTAATTTGTTGTTTTCGTAGTGTAGTGTACATGTTTTGTATTGTTTGAGTCTACGTGCTTTGGCTGCGAGTTTTTGTTTTAGTGTATCGATATATTCTGTAATGTGTGTGTTGTGATGTTCATGTTTTGTGTGTGTTTTGATTTTCTTGAAAATGTTTTTGAGTTGTTTCTTTAATTTGGGTGTTATGTTGTTTTTAGTGTATTGTGTCAGCCTGCTTAATTGCTGTCTAATGTCATTTAGTTGTGTTTCTATTCTCTGCCAAACAGGCTTGTGATAGAATTGTGTTTTGTGTGTATCTGTCTGTGATTGTATTTGTAGTCCATGGTGTGTCACTACTGTAACTGCCCCAGCATAAACTAATGTATGAATGTCTGAGAGTGTAGAAATTGAATGAATGTAGTTTGGTAGTAAGTNTGTCTGTGATTGTATTTGTAGTCCATGGTGTGTCACTACTGTAACTGCCCCAGCATAAACTAATGTATGAATGTCTGAGAGTGTAGAAATTGAATGAATGTAGTTTGGTAGTAAGTGAGTGTTTACATAATTTAATGTTTTTCCTACTTCCTTTGACTGAAACTGATTTCCTTTACAATTTTATGTTTTGCATTTAAAAACATTTTTCTGAGAAGGAGTCTGTGGCCTTCACCTGAATGGCAAAAAGGTCTGTGGAATGAGAAAGGTTAAGAACCACTGTTCTATAAGCTCAATAGTGAGGCATCTCAATTATTACTGATATTATTTTTACTATTATGTACTTTTTACTTTAAATTGCTCATCAGTACATTGCAGTAAAATTTCATCAGTACATTGTAGATTGCAATGAAAGTGTAGTGATTGTTTTTAATAAATTATACTACTTTTTACTGTTTATTTATCATTTGTATGTATTAAATTTCTGTGCCTTAACCATTTTTTTACTATTGAACTAGAATTAAAATTTAAAAATTTTTATTTTATTTATGATATTTATCTTTATCTTTTCTCTACCAAGAATGATTAGTTAGCCAAAGTGTCACACTCCTAATTATTTTGGATAATTGACACTACTGTAAAATGAAATATTTTATTTCTTACAAATTTCTAAATTAAAGAATGTTATAATTAGATAAGATTATCATTACAAGAAGTCTGAAGAAGAAAAATGACTACAAACATAAAAAACTGGTACAGGCTTGCAAGACTTTCATGGCACTTGAAGAGGATGTTAAGAAGTCCAATCATTTTCAATTTTACCAAGATATAGAATTTAAACAACATAAACTTAAAAAGAGTAATTTTGTTAAATTATGATAAATTTCTCTATTTATTTAACCAACATCAATTATAGATAGTAAAGGAAAAAATATTATAGTTTATAAAACACAAAAACATTAGCTCAAAGTTAAAATTATATGGCACCATCTATCAAATACTATGAGTTTTTTATTAAAAAATAATTTTTACATTATTAACTATTATAAAAAGACTAAAGACTTAATTTTGAAAGTAGAAATAAGTATTTTAAAATCTTATAAATGCCAATAATGAGTAAAATTTTCATTAAGTCTGACCCCAATTGAGATACAACACATGACCCCCTTTATCTCCCTATTCCCATGACCTTTAATTGATTAATTATCAGAACTTATTAGTATCAATGCCCCATATATAGACTTAATCCTGCCAAGTTTCAAAATTTTTTGTTTATCTAGTCCTGTGATATAATGCAAATTAGTTGCCGATACAAACACAAAATTTTGTAAGAGATTTTTTTACATTTTTGGGCTTCTGGAGTATCAAAACATTGAGAAATGTGAAAAAACTATGGGATCAAAATTTGGCTGACCACCATACTTTCCCTATGTTATATTCTATAACAACTGGGAAAGTAAAAGAAAGAAATAAAGAAAAACCAGTTGTAAAATAATGTATAAAATTGGTGTGTAGTACTTGTATAAGAAATATTAATAAAATGTTAATGAGTCACAGCAATTGAATAATGAATACTGATTACAATATTTAATTTGGTATTCTGTACTCAGTATTCCTTGTCATATATAGTAGTTAATAACTAACTATTATTAAGCATATGAATATTGATACCATTTATCATTATTTGCACATCACTATTGATTTTCATTAAAAATTAATATCAATATTTCTACCTGAAATACAAACATATGCCTTCCTTCAGGAACTGGTCCTACATAAACAGTATCAAGTATCTGATCATAATCTTCACTTTCTGCTGATCCAACATAAATTATTTTCCATTCTAGATCTAAAAATAAAACAAATATATTACTTCAAATAAGTATTTTGAAAATTAATAATACTTTTCACTTGAAACTGGATATATCTTTAATATTTCCAAAAAGATTCATTACATTAATTTTCTTAGCAATTCCTAGGCATATGTAAATCAAGAATATAAACATCCATAAACCTGATTTTTAGATTAAAGCAAAATAATTGCAGGATTATCAGTCTATATTAATGCTACTATTAATAATTAAATGTTAAGTAATTTGGTCTACAGATAAGCATTAGACACCATTTCTTGACAGATTTAATAATTACAGTAGAGCGTCGATTTTCCGAATCAATTGGAGACTGGGGTTGTCCGGATAACTGATATTTCGGATAACTGATTTACGTACGAAAAAATAGTTTAACGTATCCGATGTCGAAATTTTTCTCCTTGCGTGTCGCTTTGCGTTGAATTTTCGTCAATGTTAAGCCCAACATAGACTATCTATCTATCCAGTGGCATCCTCTCTACAGAGGATTGCATTTGATGAACTATTCCTCTCCATGTTTCTCTATTCCAGGCTTCTCTTAAATCCTTTCCAGTCCAGTCTTTGATGTTATCTCTCCAAGTCTTTCGGGATCTTCCTCTAGGTCTTGTCCCCTCCACCAGTCCCTCAATNGATATAGGCCCTGCATCAGCAGAGATCCATCTCATCACTAAGCAGAAGCAGACTTTTCAAGCAAATGCATATGAAACTTGGAGTATTAACCAACATTCTCTGATACATTTTATTAATATAATCAAAAAAAAATCTTACTGGAAGTAAAACAAAATGATATAAATAAATAACGCCTTTTTAACGGTCCAGCAAAAACATTTAATTCTCTAAGAACATTTTCGACCGATTTTCGCAGCCTTCATCAGTTATTCCAATATTAAAAAGAACAAAGTATTCGAACCTATGTAATACAAAATTAAATAAAATTAAACTGTGTTTGCGCAGAACAATGGAAAAAACCACTTGTAGGTTATTCGTATTACAAAAACAAAATAAAAAAGTAAACAGATAAATTTAAATAAATAATAGTGCCGTCAACGTGGATACATATATCATCTTGTGTTATTATAAAATGACTTCCAAGCAGTGGCTAATCCCTCTGCATCTCTGTGATTAATACATTCCGTGGCTATATGCACTTTATGTGTTTATGTATATATTTTTTCAAGATGCCTCACCGCCTGTAAAGATCTCGTGGCCCTAATGATTGCCACACGATCCCAGTATACGGTTACATCCTGTTGTTTGGCAAATGCCGCCAGAACCGTACTATCGATGTTCCTACTCACAGAATATTTGTGTTCATTTATCCTTTGTTTTAAGCTCCGCATAGTTGCCCCAATATACACGAGGTCGGAATTAAACCGACGATCCTTTATAGGTATAGAATATACCCTTGTCAACATATTTCGATTATCCTTCTTCTTATCATTCCTCAACATTCTGTACACAGTTGGATTGCGTCGATATATTATTCGTAGATTATTTTTGTTGGCAACTTTCTTAATTATCTTGTTTAGAAATGGAAAATAATTAAGAACCACATTTTTTCTTAGATCGGTTTCGGGAGGTTGCTGGTTTTGTTTCTGTAGTCTTTTAATAAGTGCTCCAATCTCTCTTCTGTGGTATCCCTGTTGTGCCGGTCAAAAACATTCTTGGAGAATTAAATGTTTTTGTTGGACTGTTAAAAAGGTGTTATTTATTTATATTTATTGATATATTTAAATTTAAACAAATGGATTTTACAGAATAGTTTAAAACTTCATAAGTTCAAGGGAAAAATCCTTCTGAATATATGTATGTATATACACATATAACTATAACATCCTGCTTGCATCATATAAGTTATGAATGAATACATATATATGTATATATATAATCTAGCAATTATTTGGCTGTAATAAAGAATATTTTAAAATGTTTTTAAGTCTATTTTAATCTTATTTTTGTAACCTGGACTTAAAAAATTTAAGTAGTGGAACAGAAATAGAATGAAATTACAATAGTAGTATACAAGAACTAGAAAGAAAGAAAGAAAAAACATTTACTTCTCAAAAAGTTTTCACAACAAAACTTAATATGTCAGAATATTTATTTTTAACATGACTAACATTTATGTACTATTTTATTACAGAATGTTTATTTTTAAAAGTCATTTCATAAATTATTTTAAAAACATAATGGCATTAAATAAAATGTTAAACAATCTTAAGAGACAAATGCTACTAATAAAATTCAAAGAATAACATATTTATTTGATTAAACTTTTTTCAGGGCAAGTAGTATTTAATCATAAAAAAAATATGCAAATTCTTGAACCGTATTGTATATCTTAAAGCTAAATGATGATTATGAAGTTGTTAGTGTCAAAGGATAAGAATTAATATTTTATTGATGATTCCAATCTGGCCAGTTAGGTCACTTGTTATGGTCCATTCATTGTGTATTATTTCTCAAGTAATTACATAGCTCTGCCATAACAAATAGCCAGAGCAATATTCCATACAGTAGTCGAAATCAACTAATTACCAAGGATAGTTTGTGCAGCCATGAATTTGTACATCACTATTGATATCTCACAAGAAATGACAATTTATTATGATAACTGAAGATGCATTACTGAAATCTTACCATCTGATAGACTTGATGTATTGATTTTCTTGCATAGAAATTTTGATATAGCAGCAAGCCTCACTACATTTGTGACATACATCATAATTATATGTATATATGCATGAAAATTAGTTTGAGTTATAAAACTTTTTTGGAAACCCTTTAAGATATTATAATATATTTCTCATAGTAAATCTGATAGACTATGTCACACACCATTTTATAAATTTTAAGAATCTGTTTTTAAAAGAAATTTTTGGAAAATGGAAAACCTATTTTTTATAAGTTATTTAAATGATTTATTTATATCTTTAAAATATTTTTAAAGTTATTTGTGAAATATTTTAGTAATTTAATATACAACCTATAGTAAACCTTGGATGTGTCCGGATGGCTGAGTGGTCAAGGTGGCAGTCCACTGCTCTGGGGGACCTGGGTTCAAATCCGAATGGGTTGAAAAATCCCCAGGAATTTTTTTGGGGGTGATCCGTTTGGATTTGTTCGGGCCCTGTCCCTCACTACACGGCAGCCCCATTGTGGGCCTGGCCGAACCCATAATGGGCTTGCAAAAAGAGGCCCTCTTAGTGCCCACAGGGCAGAAAGAGTCAAAATAAATAAATAATAAACCTTGGATATGGAATAGCAATAATAGATAAGAAAATTTTAAAAAACCCTTTTGTTACATTAAATAGAAGAAGTTAAATCATGAATAATTTTTTAAAGTGTCTAACAGAGTTTAACAAGGTAAATATTTTTTCAATCTTTATGGTAAAAAGTGTTTTGTAAAATGTTCTAAATCATTTTGTCATTTAAAGGCTTGTTTATTGGTCAATAAAAGAAAATTTAAAAAAAAGAAAGAAAGAAAAACCAGCCTTATGTTCTTAATCTTCAACTTGAAGACAACACAACACAGCAACATTTTATTACACTGTAGCAATTATACTATTTGAGAAAAAGCAAAAACCAGGATATTCACAACATTTAGCAGTCTTTGTGTTTGGAATGTTACTGGCTGGAGAAGTACAGTTTGCTGACTTAAGAATCAGATTCAGTGGCACTAGGAGTGGGTCACTGATTTACATAGATTTGTGTTTTCCCAAATGACTGAGTGGTCAATCCAACCAAACAAATCTGTGTACGTCAATCCTATATAAAACAAGATCATATTGTATAAAAAGTACTATTGATAGTATAAAATTTCATTACAAACAATTATTGAATTATAAATTTCTTTATTCTTATTAATTAAATGTTGGAAAAAAGTTCAATTTCTACAGTGCAAAAGTTTTATTTATTTGATCATCTATCAAGATATCAAACTGTTCCTAGCAAAAAAGATTATATCCATTTAAAACAATTAAAATAAAAATAAGCCTTGAGTTTAGCAATACAAAGGAACTATTATTGTTGCAAGTACCTACATGTTAGATTAAACTTGTGATTCGAGTTTATTAAACTTTCAAATTACTTCAAAATAATAAAACTAAGAATTAGTATTATGGTGGTTTTACCTTTTCAATTAGGATAATCTAAAAGTCTAACTAATATATTTAATTTTACATAATTAGAGAATAATGGCATAAAATTTTTAAGTATTAATAGAATTCTAGGATTTACTTACATTAATACAAAGGAAGACAGATTAAACTCAAATAAACCATTTACATGATAAACATATCACTAGATTTTATCATGAATGAGGTGAAGAATTTAGATAAAATGAATTCCAATTATTTGAAACATTTATTATATATATAATTACACAGGCAAAATCTGTCAAAAATTCATTATATAATTTACTAAATATTTTTGTCAAATAAATCTTCTAATGCAAATTCCATGTTTAATAATAATTTGATACAGTATTAGTATAATGTATGTCAAGTAGATGTTTACAAGTATTAAAATAAAAAAAAAACATGGTATGACGTTTAAGTGAAAGTTTTTTAGTATAAAACAATTTACAGAATTATGAAATATCTTGTACTTGTTTATAGTGGCATTAAAAGGAATTTAGTAATAAAATCAAAAGAATATTTAAGTACAATGGGTGATTGGTTAACAAAATTCATTCAAAGACAATGTTTGCTACTGGAATTGTTAACTGATTAATTTGATTAATTCATTCTAGAAACCCGAAAAATAAATAAAATATTGTATACTTTCTTACTATGTTTATTTATATGTAATAACAATAACGTCAATATATATAAATACAATCTTGCATTTTCATCAGTCATGTTTTTTTTTCCATTTGTGGGGTGTTAAAGAATCTATCCAATGTCGATTGCTTTTCTCTCTTTTTCAGGAGTTTTTGGAAGTGATTAATAGCATTGTTGTTGTAGAAATCCCCAAGCCTATTGATCTCAACCTAGTTTGGGTACCATTCTAAGTCCATTGTTTTGACATCCTCCCATTTCTTCATAAGATCTTTAGCAGATCTAATAGCAGACATTGGCATTGGTCCTCTTTCATCATCCTCTTTTTCAGAAGAAAACACATATCAATGAATTTTTGGTTTTCTTCATTCAAGAGTTCTTAGAGTTCTGTTGTCAGATCATTTTCATGTTCCATTTTGAGCTCTTCAATGTCATCTTTATTCACCTCCAATTCCAGATCCCTAGCAGTTGTCACAATTTCATCCATAATTTCAGAGACATCATTTCTGTCTCCCTGAATGCAAGAGGGACACAGCTTTTGCCAAGAAGAATTTAACTGTCATTGAGTGACTTCTGACTTTTGAATGAGCTGTATAGCTTCAAGAATATCAAATTTTTCTTTCCAAAAAGTTTTTAATGCCATTTTTGAGGACAACTGGCATGCTTCAAAACATTGACACAACAGTGCTCAAATGTACACTTTCTTGAAACCTGCAATAACGTCTTGATCCATTGGTTGATTCAACAAAGTGGTATTTGGAGGTAGAAACTGAACTGTCAGCCAGGGAAAGTCTTCCAGCAAATTATCTTCCAAGGTTTTTTGGGTGTCCTGGTACATTATCCAATAGCAACAGTGCTTTCAAAGGCAATTCATTGTTCTGAAGGTAATCCTTGATGCTTGGAGCACAAAATGCAAACAGCCATTCTTTGAAAAGAGCCTGCGTGACCCATGCCCTTTTATTTGATCTCCACATCACTGGCAGTCTTTCTTTCACTATGGAATTTTTTTGAATGCTCTAGTGTTCTCAGAGTGATAGACAAGAAGCTTCATATCACCACTAGCATTAGTTTGCAAAAGTAACATCAATTGGTCTTTCATGGATTTATGCTAGGGAATATTTTTCTCATCTTTCATGACTGCATACACTTCCAAAATAAACCAGATTCATGACAATTGAAAATTTGTGGACAATATCCTTCTTTTTTAATGAATTCTTAAAATCTTAGACAGAACTTCTCACTTCTTCTATCTGCATTACCACATGTTTAATGCCAGATCTCCTTCTAAACTTTGTGAACCATCCAGTAGTAGCCTTGGCTTCTATCTCCTCATGTGACGAATGTGGAGTTTGTTTCTTCAGTTCTTCAAAAATTTCTCTAGCCTTCTCTTGAATGATAGTCACACAAGTTACATCTCTTTTCATTTCCCTTTCTCTTATCCAAACTAACAGCAATTTCTCCATTTTTTCATGGATTTTCATTACTTCATCTGCTTGAATCTTCTTGATTATATCTTTCTTAGCTAAAATTGCCTACTGTAGATTGGTTGAAGCCATACATACTGCCTAGAAACATCAGACATCTGCCCACTCTACCTTGGTTATTATCTCTTGCTTAGTTTCTGTGATGAGCAGTTCTTGACATTCCACTCTTTTTAGGCCCCATATTATTAATATTATCAGTTTTTTTGAATAAAAAGTTCAGGAAAACATTTACAAAAATTCAGAGAACAGAAATCAACTAGTTCAAAAAAAGAAGCTATGTATAACACTGTGAAAGTTTTATTCTATAAATCATTGACAGATGCCAATAAAATATAGTTCTACAAATCTTAATCATAGTGTCACTTCTTGTGTTTGTTCTGAAGTGCTTGTTTTCCAAACCTGTTTTTATTGTCCAAACATAAAAATATTTCATGAAAGTGTTTGTTATGTGATTTGTTCAGTCTGAACTGCTCATTAACTGATCACCCACTGTACAAGAAAATTGTTAATATTGTAACTTAAGAGAGAGATCTCAATTATTTTTGTATTAGATGAACTACTTCATTACAGTTTTATTAAACTTGTTAATTAAAACTTTATACTGCTAAATTAGCTTGAACAATTTCCTCATATGATTTAATTTTCTAAATTTTAGTACAATAAAAATTTTTTGAAATTTAAAATTTTTCTAAAAATCCAAATTAGACAGAGAAATAATAATTATAAAAACATAATATATAATAACTTTAAAACTATCATCTTTCTAAATAAAATATACATTAACAATACTATATTTAGAAGCTTTAAACATTTAAACATATGCAAAAGCAAAGGTACTTTACTGAACTTTGTTTTTAATACAGTATTGTTAATATGTATAGTTCGCTTGAAAAAATAATAATGATATATAATAACAGCAAATGATATTTGAGTTTAGATTTAAATCAACTTTATCAAATGATTTTTGAGAAAGTGATTAACATTAAGACGTAATCATTCATTATTTAATCAAATGTACTACAATTTAAAAATAACTTACAGAATAAAATTTACATTCTACACTATGACTTATGGTTTTAAAACTTCCAATAATGTGCACCTTACAATAAATCAGTTAATATCTCAATTATATGTTAATTCAATAAATTCTCAACAATTCTTCAAATAATAGTAAAGTAATACATCTCTGTGTTAATCTTAATTACGTCATTATTAAGAATGATCATTCAGTCTGGTATTATTAGTTGCAAAACACATCTGTATATTATCAATGCATACATTGATTTAATTCTTTAAAGAGTAAAAATTACACCAATAAAACTTTTTCAAATCCAATTTAGAGTTTGGTTAATTAGACACCAAATAAAACAATCAACACATTTGTATTATTAATTGTGTACTGAAAAATATACTTTAGTTATTAATGTGTTATTAAATCATTTAACACAGAAAATACAGTATAAAGTACATTTTTATATGAATTACAATTATATATTTGAAACAACTTTTGAAACATTGACTTTAAGAAATGTGTTCATATATACCCTATTACACTTTAAATCAATAAAAAATATTGATATAAACAAATCTGTTAAATTAATTGTAATGATTTATGATCTTTTGAAATTCTGAAAACACAGCAGGACACTATTTACAGGTGATTGATATATATATAAACTTCAAAGTAAAAATTTGTTTTAAAACAATATTTGCTTTAATTAACCAAATAATTTGAATATTTTCTGTTTAAATAATTAAAACTAAGGGCATGCCAAACTAAGTTTAGTTTTTCTCCAAACTAAACAATGTGCATTAGCTTTTACTCTACTTAGTTTTTTTCACTGACCATTTAAAACTTAACACAATAATATTAATTTGCTTTTACCTTCTTTTAAATCTTCAATGCATTCGAAAGTGATTTCAAACTGGAAAGGATTGAAAAATGGAGATGGATTATCCAAAACGACGACGTTGCATACGTGAACTTTAGCCATTTTATGGAGGATGTATTCGAATTTAAATTGACAATATCTTCAATATTAATTTGCTAAATAATCGAAATTAAAATATTAGCCAATTATGAATATATTTTAAATATATTTAATTATTAAAAACATTACTAACCAACTTTTTAAGATTTTTTTTTTTTTGTTAAACAGTGAAGGAAAATAATAGAATAACTTTACATTCCGTTTATATATCAAATTGAAACAATATTTGATTTTCTAAATTTTTGATTGACTTAGGTTAAAGTGTAAAAAGAATTAACTGATTGGGGAAAAACTTCGAACTGTGTAGTTTTGCATGAAGTGCAGGTTGTTCACTAAAAAAAATTTTATTTGGCGCGAAATATTTTCACTTCAACTTAATTTGTTGATAAGTTGCCACCCTATAAATCTATGACGTAAAATAACTAATAAAATCGAAAAAAGATTTGATAAAACTTTAAATTAAATTAAATAATTAGTTAAATTCCTAAACATAATTTAAAACATTAATTACTATAAATAAATTAATAATAATATTATTATTACAATATGAGATTTTAATTGTAAAATTGAATTTAGAATTTTATCTTTTTATTTATGATTTTAAAATAAATTTTCATATAAATATTACTTTATAAAATTAATTTTTTATATACGTTATTATCATTTTATACAGAAAATAATTATTTAAAATTAAAGATATGCTGCAGTTCTTTTTTTTTTATTTTAACTCTTACCGCTCTGTGGGCACTAAAAGGGCCTGTTTTTTGCAAGCACATTATAGGTTTGGCCAGGCCCACAATTGGGCGGCCGGGTGGTGAGGGACGGGGCCCGACATATCCAAACGGACCATCCCAGAAAAATTCCTGGGATTTTTTGACCCGTTCGGATTCGATCTCCTAGAACGGTAGGCTGCCATTTTGACCGATCGGCCATCCATTTGAGGCCGTCTGTATGGTGCAGTTCAAAAATGATTGGTTGACAATCTGATGATATCGTTTGTCGGCAAAAGTGAGTATTTTTATATTGGCGGCTAAATAATTAAGACAGCTTTTCACTCGTTATTTAGACACTAAAAGGGCCTTTTTACCGACCAGATGGCCAAGGCGGCTAAAGCCTTTTTTATTCTACTTGTAAGTTTCCAGCGGCAATGGTAAGCAATGGCAGCTATGATATATAAGTTTAAAGCGGTAGCGGTAACTTTTCTTAATGCATCACTCCAGTTATGGGAAGTTTTAAAAATTAATAGGTTTCAGTTTTTATTAACAAATGGGTTAATTAAATCAGGATTGTCTCGAAAATACAGTTTGTTATCGGACACAAAGGAGGATTTCGAGACAATTTTGATTTAATAAAACATAGTGATTTCATTAATTGTGAAAATGTCTCACTTTTCAGATACATTACTGACAAATTTATTTAAAACTCATTTATTTTCTCCATCCACGTTTCTTGTTGATGACATATCTATTGAAGATTTAGATCATTTGCTTTCACGTTTAGAGACTGATATCAATTTGATCAAAATGCTACGATTTATCTTGCTGAATATTTGGCAAAAAGTGCTGGCAGCCTTAAGTAATTGTACGTAATTGTATACTGTCAGTTAGTCATTAGGAAGGAACTACTCGCTCCAGAGCCGGCCCTACCATAGGGCGAACGGAGCAGCCGCTCCAAGCGCTAAGTCCTAGGGAGCGCCTCAGTGGTAAAGAAAATTAAAGGGTATAAATTAAAGGCAACCAAGGGGGCGCCATAATAGGATCTCGCTCCATCCTAAAACTTGCCTCGGGACGGCACTGACTCGCTCCATATTGTGGCATCCAAAACAATTATGTTAGCTTGATTGAATTGAATCGAATCCACACAAATACACTACTATTTTTATATTTTTATGTACTAAAGGCGGAAATTTTTGTTATAGCTGCTTGCTCAGCGCATGGTTGTACCAACGGAGCATCTAAAAAATTATGTGGCTTTACGTTTTCCAGGTATGTGTCAGTTACTAATGAGCCTGTTGTTCATCCTGTCAGTGGTAATCATATAGTATTTTTATTTGATCCTAGCCACATCATTAAATTAGTAAGGAATACTCTAGGAGGGAAAAAACTATATTCTAAAAAAGACGTTGTTTGATTGGTGTTATGCGATGCAATGCATAATTTACAAGAAACTGAAAATATTCACGTCAGAAATAAGCTCAGGAGTGTACATGTGCTTCTGTGGCTGATGCTATAACATTTTGTAACACTCATTTGCAGCTGATAGCATTCAGAGGTAAAGCAACTTTAGAATTTATCCAAATGATGAATGATTTGTTTGGTGTTCAATTGGAGAAATATTAAGTAGACTAGATTGAAAGAGCTTTTAAATGCCAACAATCATGATAATGTTTTTGATAAGTTACAAATATATTCATTTGATTTATTCAAAAATAAAGCAAATGAATATATTTTTAACTTGAAAATAGGTCCAGATAGGGAAGGCCTACTTTAATCAAGTAGGAAAATGGTTTCCTTGGGATTACTTGTTTGTGTCAAATCCGTGAAGACAGTGTGTGAGACATTTATTGCCAATAATTTTCTTTCATCAATTTCATTATAAGACTTATTAGGATCACATTGAAATTTTCTTTCACACTGTCAGAATGCAAGGAAGATGCAATAATAATCCTTCTGCATCCCAATTCAAAGCAGCATACAAAAAAACTTTTAAATCAGAAACAAATAAATGCTGGCAAAGCTGGTAATTGCATTCAGTTGGAAGACATTCCTATCATAGTAGCTAGAACTTCATATGTGCAAGCTAAGCCAGAAAAGTTATAAGCTCTACAACAGCGGTCGCCAACCTTTCTGACCTCACAGACCATTAAACTCATAACGTTGAATCCAGCTGACTACTATCATGAGTTTTTTTTAAACGATACAAACATCTATAGGATAATGATAATAAAAGTTCCATTTTACTTCATTAAAGATGTAAATGCATTTAAATTATTTTTTAACCTATCCTGATATATTGAAAAATTCAATTTTTCATTAACAAGGACAATATCAGTTTTCCCATTGAACAGTGGCGTGCCGTCATTGGAAGCGGTGAATGCGCCGCTTCCCTTGTATTTTCTAAAAATAAATAATTACATATTAATTTTAATTATATGAAAATAATTGCACAATATCTTATTACAAATTTCTATACTACACGTGAAAAAAAAGATAAGATTGTTTGGATGTTGACAATACAGCGGTATTGTCAACATCCAAACAGCCAGATTCGCGCATGCGCTTTACAGAGCATCAACCTCACCCGGTTTAGCTGGTGGAAGCCTAGGTCCTCGGGTGGATGCTGCGCATATAACGCTTCCAATTCTATCCAGGACCGGTTCTGCGCTGTTAGCCGCCTGCCTGCTAGATATTTGGCCGCCCTCGCCCCATTATGTGAATCATGAGTAGATTTATAACTTAACCCAACCGATAAGAATTTACTGGTATGCTTTTATAATAGTTCTGTATAGTTGACAGAAGTTAGAAAAAAATCCATTAAAATATTTGATATATTTATTCTGCTTTTATTCTGCTCTCCCATCTTATATTACTTACGGATTTCAATGTTAAACCAACGATATTACGATTTCGTATGTCCCATCTATAAGGGGATGTAGAAAAAAAACGTGTACAATTCTTGTACAATGTTAAGTTTAAAATTTGAGCTCTCTAGGCCCAGTGGTATTCTTTCTCTAGTACCATCTGCACCACCAAATGAATGAAAAAGAGAAAAGTTACGGCTTTTATGGAGATCTTTGCACTTTTCAACTGCTTATATTTCGGCAACTCCTCTATAGAAAAGCCTGAAATTTTGCACGTTACCTAAGAAAACAAGTATCTTTCGAACGAGATATTCACATTTACTACAGACGTTTAAAAGACGGAGAAATCGGCTATTTTGATTTCTGTATCAGTGAATTTTCCACTTGGCGCTGTGACTGCGTTACTGCAGAACGGCCTTTTTGCTACGGAATTGACTACAGTAATACGGCGCTGTAAATGCGCGACAGCAGTTTTGTTTGTGAATTTTCGAACAAACACCTATTATATTCTCCAATTCATCGTACTCTATTTAATTACTTTATCGTCCGTTTCTATATTAAAAATATTCATGTTATTGTAAACCTAAACGATGACTGTGATGGAAATAAATATTGATAAAAGTAGAAACGTTTTAATAAATCTAAAAGTGTGCAACTTTAATATTTATTTTGATAAATATGCAATCTTAAAAATTAAATTTCAAATTCAAATTTATTAAGTATGAAAGTTTATATACACTTCAGACAATTCGATTTACAAATTTTATTGTTGAAGTAATTTTAATTCTGGTTCGGACGATGACACTCGAACACCGGTTTAAATACAGTTTGAATGTCCGTACAATATAAGTTGCCTTGTCCATTTATAGACGATTAACAGAGTCTTTAAACTGGTAACGTAAGCACTGCTTTATGTTTTGCTTGTCACTTTGCAGATCATCAGACTGTCGTTGTTCTATGGACTTTAATCTAATCGAAGTTGAACAACCATGTCTGTCCGTCAATTCAAAGCGAAAAAAACCCAATCCGGGATGAAATGTCAAGTCCAGTAAATTAAGTCGTAGCCGGGTGAAACGTCATTTCCGGGTGACAAAGTCGTATTCGGGTGGCAGAGTCATATCCGGTGAAAAGTGGACGTGGGTGAAAGTGACCTCTGAAGAGAAAATTTTCATTTTACGCAGCAGAAGAAGAGCCTTTTCCACCAAGGTTTCTTCTGCTTGACGGATGTTTC